TTGGGGATTTCCCTGGGTTTTTGGAATGGCAGAATGGCTGGAATAGCCGGGGCAGCGGGGTATTGCACCGAACGAGGGAGCAGCCCTGACCCAGCCCCCCGGCTCCTGCACAGCCCGGTCTCCCCGCGGGCACTGAGCAGACCCCACACTCATTGCGTGGCATGGAGAGCCTGAGGGTGACTCCCACAACTCCCCATGCGGCTCAGTCAGAAGGGCGGTCGTGGTGCATCATAGTCCGACAGAACCAAATCCATGGGGGAATGGGGGCACGAGGCTGGTGCAGCTGAATGTTGAACCGGTTTGCAGTGGAAGGTATAGATTCAGGTCACCAACCCAAGAGGCTGCAATTTGGGCCCCGCCGCCCCACAGCAGAATGTTGCGCTTCTTTTTTCCCAACGGAAATCGAAACGTTTCAGCAAAAGTAACGTTTTCCCTCAAAGTTTTGGTTTTGTGGAAACTGCGTCATCTGTAGAGAAATCATTTCAGCAGGAAATTCCCACCCAACTCGATTCACAGCCTAATTCCTGCCACTGCCCCAGAGTTTGCAGGGAGCTGGTACTCTACGGGAGGGGCCAGGGCTGTACCCGGCCGTTCAGGAGCTAGAAGGAGACAAATCTTAGGCAAAGTCCAGATTCCCGAACGGGAGGACTATTTAATGAGCAGGAACTCGCTCCGTGGGGGCGAATCCCTCAGCCTCTGCAGAAACGGCCCCCGGTCTTCACAGGAAATCTGGCAAATGTCAGTTCAAATCAACTTCCCAGCCTCTGGTTCCAGGGGGGCTCAGATAGGATTTTATACTGAAATTTTATACAGCCTTGACAATGGAGCAGCTACCGCCTCTCCCTATAACAAAGCTGTGGAACTCACTGCCACCCTGGGGCCTCCCTGGCTGCTACGACTGGGGGCAGCTGCTTGGGACCCAGATGGGCCTGACAGGTCCCAGCAGGAGGCAGGACCCAAACCCAGCCCCTCGGAGCGCTGGAGCCGGGTCTTCTCTGTCCCAATGGGCTTGTCCTGGGCAGCGGCTCATCTGATCCTGGCAACGTGACCCGCAGCTCGGTCTGAGCCAGCTCCCGGTGTCTCCATCCCCCTCAGGGCGGCGTGGTGGACGAGCTCTCTCTCTCGGCTTACATCACAGCAGCACTGCTGGAGCTGGGGCAGCCGCTCACGGTGAGGCCAAGCCCGGCTGTCCCAGGGGAGGGGCCGGCAGTCGGGGGGGATTGGAGATTGTTGGTGACAGTGAGGGGGGAGTTAGTGCAAGGGAAGCGTTTGGGGTGAGACAGGGGAGTCGTGGGGGGTTGGTACCAGGGAGGGATTTGGGGTAAGATGGGGGAGCTGTGGGGGGTTGGTACCAGGGAGGGATTTGGGGTGAGATGGGGGAGCC